ATTGTCTGGATTACATTTATTTTTTTTTAACAATAATAACAAAAAAGCAACCTAAGCAGACAATCAGGAAATAATTAATAACAGATTCAAAATTAAACTTTTGAGTTTGTAACAAAATTGTCACTATGCAATGGTAAGTGAAAATGAGGATATAAGGATGGCAGCATAGAATTCCAGTTATGTAAAATCAGAAAAGGAATGCATACATTCTTTTTCCCAAAGAGACTAAAAGTTTTTGAGAATGAAATGTACTATATCTTGCTTACAATGATGGCTGCACCTTTATCAAATTTTTCAACACCCACTATAAATAGGTTCCTTTATTTTTTAGTAACAAAAACTATACCTCAATAAAGCTGACATTTAAAAAACAGAGATTAAAAATAGACTCAAAGTATTTTGAAGGACAATAATTTTTCTCTTTTCCAAATTTCATACAACAAAAATAATTTTCTAATGTCCCCCCAGCCAAAATGGGGGTGGGTACACACTGAGATTATTTAAAGATAGGTTTTTTTACACTGTTGAGAATTTGGCGGATGCTGATAAACAGCAACCTCAGAGTACTGAGAACCAAATGCTATGCAGGGGGCTTGGGACACAGCTCAGTTGGTAGACTACTTGCCTTGCATACACAAGGTCCTGGATTCAAGAAGGGGCGGGGGGGGGGGGGGGAAGGAAGGAAAGAAAAGAAAAGGAAAAGAAAAGAAAAGCAATCCCCAACAGCTATGCAGGTTCTTGAAATATTCAGAACATTCCTAATATACCAGTGTTCTCCATAGTTCTTTGACATGCAAGCTCTGCTATGTACTATTTTACTTACTCCTTCTGGTACTCTAGGAAGAAGTCTCATTTTAGAAGTAAGAATCTGACATGAAGAATGAGGTTAATAAACTTGCCAAAGACCACAAAGCTATTAAGTGGTAGAGCTAGAATTCAAACCCCAGTCTGTTCACTCCAAGGGCAATGTTCTGTCCTTTATTGTACACTCCACTACTTTTCCCAAGAGGCTACTCCCTCAAACTCCTTGTTATCCACAAACTTCATTAATACACCACCTAGTCTTTACTCTGTGATCCTACACTGAATCTCTGGGCTACTAAATATTATATGCCTACTTGACTTCAAGCTAAGAGCCCTCTTAGGCATAGTTAGTTATTCATATAAGTAACAAATCCATATCATACTCTCACTGTCCAGCCCCTGTTTCTCTACAAAGTCTTCATTCCCTCACTCAGTTAAAAGGCTCAACTACTACTCTTATGATTAAATCTGAATATGACTTCTTAGATTCTCTGGGTAGCTTTTTTAAAATTAAATATTAACATTATTGATTATGTGTTTAAACATTTTGGGCGTAAAATTGGCAATACCTGTTGTAATTTATCCTATAATTATATATGTACAAAATTACACAAAAACATACAAAGGTATTTATTACAGCATCACTGTAATCACAGAAAGTACACACACAATATCAATGCCTAGGAATAGGGTAGTGGTCAAAATAATAATACAAAGAACTACTCCTATGCAGTTGGAAAAAATAAGAAATATTTACAAATACTAACAATGAAAAAGGCACAGTAAAATTGTTAATACTCTAGTGACAAGGGGATTACATTTCAGTAATTTTTAAAAACATGAACAGACAATGCTTTTAATCAGAATAAGCTAAGAAATCAAAACCCAACACACTCATAATTGTGATGCCCCTCAGCATCCTAGGGGCTCTAGCCCTATTGCTCCCTACTCTCTCCATGTAGATCTACCTTCAAATATTTAGCTGCCTTCTCTAAGCCAAGTAACTTTACTAGACCCTAGAAATAATAAAGTGATAAGGTGTTATAAATTCTAAGGAATTCATAATCAAAAAAGGAAGTAATAATAATAAACCAGGTATTTTAATAAAATAAACTAGCCAGGCACAGCGGTGCACTCCTATAATCCTATGTTGGGGCTGAGGCAGGAGAATCGCAAGTTTGAGACCAGCTTCTAGGCAACTTACAGAGGCTCTGAGCAACTTAGTGAGATCCTGTCTCAAAAAAAAAAAAAAAGGTTGGGGATGGAGCTCAGAGATTAAGCAACTCTGGATTCAATCTCCAGTACCAAAAATTAATTAAAAGAATTAGTAACAATAATAATAAATAATATATGGTCTTGAAAGTACAAAATCTGAGTGAGACAACCTAAAGAATTTCCAGCAGTTTCTACGGAGAGGATGACAATCCATAGAAAAAATAATGCCATTGACACTGTGGCTATAAACTGATTGTACAGCCTTTGGAATCCACACAGGGGATGGCACCCTGATTTCAACCAAGTCCAGCAGCAGCAGGCCAACTATGCAGTTGATGATCCTATAGGCTATATCCCTTTGATAAAGCTAAAGTGGAAACAAACAAAAAAGCTAAAGTGGAAACAGCTTATCCAGCTTTTTCAAGAATCTGAGAAAGAAGATGCAAACTCTATGCCCCGCCTCAGCATGAAAACAACCTCAAATGCTTCACCAGTATGACAGTCATGTTGAATTTATCACAGTTTATGATATAAAAGAAGCAATTAAGTCTTTATTTATCTCTTTCACACAATTTGCAGAAGAGATACAGAATACCAAAAAGAGAAGGGCCACAGTTGGGTCTAAAATTCCACATGCTCACAAAAAAAGACTGAAAATATTATCAAAACTCTTTCATTTCCTGACAATGCCCCACTTCACACACACACACACACACACACACACACACACACACACACACACACATATTATTTCCAGCCCCTGCTCCCTGGAAAAATCTGTGGTGCATATGTGTATTTTTTAAAACCAGTTCTGCTCAGAGGAAATGAACAAGAAATCAAATGCTTATTCATTACCTTAGAAAATTAAGAACTGACATATATTGAGAAATAAACCACTAATCCTCAGTACAGAAGAGAAATGGTGCAGGATTCATAACCTAAGTTACTTTAATCAATATTTCCATTAAATTTTTCAACTACTGGTTCTTATGCTACATATCAGTTGAAATTCTCGAAAGCAGCTCTTTAAAGTACCTCCCAACCTCCTCTGTAAGCTCATAATTCCTAAGAACAAACTGTCTCCTCTCTTCTCGGGGGTTTCTCTATGGTCAATAGTATAAAATATTTTAGTATTATGATATAAATATATTTAAACTGTGGACTTAGTTTGCAGCTACTCAACTCAAGCAAGTTTCAGTTTTGGTTTTTTGATGTATAAAACAGAAGATTAGCCTCTAAAATTCTATCTCACCTTCAGCACTGATACTCAATGAGGCATGTTATAAGAAAATGTGGTTAAGTATAGTGATGTGGAAAGAGTACATTTAAACAGATCTGAATTCAAATCCCTTGACTCCTATAAATTGCCTGGCTTTGGGCAAATTATTTACCCTTAGAGACCTCTTTCCAAATTTACTACTTACTTAGTACAGCCAATGAATAAATAATAATAATAACAATAATAATAATAATAATGTATTTAAATTGCCTAGCACAGTGGGACCTCAATAAGTGATTTGTTCTAACTAGTCAGCAAGTTTTCATTCTTGACAGTTTTTCTATTTAACATTTTTTTCTGACCATTTCTAAACAAACTTCAGTGACTAGGCAGGAATTTATATTTTAACAAACTAGGGAATAATTTCATTCAAACATACTCATAACTACTTTAAGATTACATGATGGATGACAATTTAGAACTAGCAAATAATGTAGCCAGTGCTGCACACAGCCTTAACAAATGTAGGGACCTCGTGTACTATACAAAAGGAAAAAAAGCATTTCATTAAATGTGAAGAACACAATCTGCCCATGATGTTCTTGACCAAATACAGCAGTAGCTACAAAAGGAAAAAAAAAAAAAAAAAAAAAAGCCACTGTCCTTTTGCCACAGGATGCTAAAGTAATCTTTTGAATCAATGCTTCCACTTCTTTACCATCTAAGTCAAGATTATGAAAGTTTCTCTGGGCTCCAGGGATTTTTTTAGAGCTACCAGATCAGAGATCCAATTTTTTAAAAAATATTTTTTAGTTGTTGATGGACCTTTTTTTAAAAAATTTATTTGTATGTGATGCTGAGAATCGAACTCAGTGCCTCAAGCATGCTAGGCAAGCACACTACCACTGAGCCACAACCACAACCCCAGAGATCCAATTTTTGCTAAGCAAAATTAATAGAAGACAAATTCCAAGAAACTTTGGATTGAGGAGAGACAGAAGGTAGAACACTCAAATTTCACTCAGCACATTTACAACATGAATTATCATAAAGCAAAACCTTTGAGTAAATCTTGAAAAACAGCCTGACAAAGTAATAAGCCCTAGGATAAAAAGCAAATCCTCATTATCAGGATTCGCACATCCCTTCAAGTATAATAATCGCGTATCTCTGATCTATTTGTCAATTCTGGAGCTTGTTCCCCAGGAGAGGAATTCTTCTGACCGAAAGTTAAAATCATTACATATCTGAAGGCTGTGCGGGAAGCAGCATTTGTTTTCTGATACCAGAAAACTATAAACTTATTCTGACTTGCTTACATTTAAAATTCTATTTCAGTCATACCCACGAGAACTTTTTAAAAAGACTTCTTTTTGCAACATAATCTAAACGTGTGAAAATATAAACTGATCCTTTCTTCGCGTGAAAATTAACTTTAGCCATCCCTAATCTCCTCTACCTAGGCACCAGTGCCTCAAGAGCCCTCCTGACAGCTTTGACAGAGTCACTTAGGTGAAAAGATTCTCTCCTTAAATATAAAATGCTGTAATGACACAAAGAGGTTATATTTGATTGCAAAGCCAAATCACTGCCCAAAAGGCTGCTTCCTGGACACTCACTGCAAAGTCAAGATTATGAAAGGTTTTCTTGGTTCAGAGTTTTTGAGAGCTACCAGCAGGAAGGAGCAATTCGGCGCTGCGACGATTCCCGAAACACTGCAAGCAGGACCCAAGGGTAAGGCTGGAAGGAGTGATCAACCTACCTGGAGGAAGCTGCAAATTAGCAGGCAACTGGATCGTAGTGGCGCTGGGGGCTTTCACGGTGACGATCTGGGGAGCAGGCAGCCTAGGGCCACTGAATTTAGGAACAGTACTGACAGGAGCCACTTTGGTCACTAGGGTCCCCACGGGGGACCGCAGAGGCTGGGACGCCGTGGACTCCACGCAGACACTGACAGGAGCCTTAGTCACGGCGCCCAGGGCCACCGGGGTGCTCTCTACCCGGACCGGCAGAGCCCCGGCAGGGGCCATAGTCACGGTCCCCGAGGCGCCCCCAACAACCGGAGGAGCGGCACCGGACGATTCGCTGAGGCCCGCGGGCATCCCCCCAAGGGATCAGCGGCAGCTGCAGCGCTGCCGTTCCGGGAGCTGAGGTGAGCAGAGGTTTGACACGCCGACTCCAGCGCAGTTCTGGCTCCACAGCATCGCTGGGGAAAGGCTCGGGGGCCGCGGCAGAGAAATCGGTGGTGGGCGCGGGCTAGGCAGCAGCAGCCGCGCGTCCCAGATCTGCCTCCCGTCCGCGCGAGCCGGGGCAGCAACACCCGCACAGGCGCTTGCCGCTTCCTCAGCAGCACTCACACGTGCGCCGGCTCAGCCCGGCGCCTCAGCCTCCGATCCAGCTGCAGCTGAGCCCGGACGCACAGCTCCCGGAAGGGCGTCACTCGGGCTCTCACTTCCAAGCCTAACTGCGCGGTAGTTCCCCCGCCAGAAACTTCAAAACTACAGACCCAGAGCAGCACCGGAGCCCCCTACGCGCGCTCCGGACGGGCCGGCTGCGCGGACACGCCAGCCATGTTTATATAGCCACGCGGAGACCTCGCGCAGGCGCCCAGGCCGCCGCCGCCACCCCGGGTTTCCCCGGAATCCGGCTGCCTGATTGGCCACGGAGCGGAATCGCGCTCGTGACGTCATGAGGGACGGCTCGAAAGGGCGTTAGAATCTTCCCCAGAATCCGGAGGATGGAGGGGCAGGTTTTTACCTAAAGCTTGTCACGTGTGAGGGGCAAACTGCGGCCTCCGCGGTCCTCTCCTAGGTGTCCGTGAGAACAAGAAGCCTAAACTAGATTTTCCCCCACGCTTTTTAAGGGAAAAATGTAGAGGACTAGTTTTGGAAGTGTAATTCATCAAGAACTCAGTCGCACTTCTTCAGGGTTTCTCTGCGGCTTCACGCAAAAGCGTCGCTAAAATTAACATTGAGGTTGACATTATGAAAATAAGAACAGTGTATAATGTTATCGTCCGTAAAACGTGCTTATTTTCATATCGCTTTCGAGTAGAACTACCTAAAATCTAGAACTACTTAAAATCTAAAATGAAAATTTTGTTTCTTCCTCTCTGCTGCTTTATATATGCCTCTGTCACCTCTAAACTTATTTAAATTGTATGCCTGTCTCCTAAGAAACAGGTCAGTGACTTTTGATTCTCACACAAATTCTAAGATCTTAAGTTCTGTCAATGAAATAGTGTTCCTTGAAGGAACCAATACTAAGATTCAATTATGGAAAAAAGTGCCCCTTCTTAAGGTAGTCAGAGAAGATGCCTTGGTTTCAGACCTTTGTCGTAATAGTATATGTTTGCAAGATATAACGCTATCCTGAAGGAGATTTTGCAAGTAGACAGGTGCTATGCTGGGAAATGTGTTCCCCCAAAGTTCGTATGTTGAAATCTTATGGTATTAGGAGCTGGGGGCCTTTGGGAGGCAATTAAATCTTGAGTTCCTTTTAAGAGGGAACCTAGGGGCTGAGGCTGCAGCTCAATGGCAGAGCACTTGTCTAGCATGTGTAAGGCACTGGGTTCGAACCTTAGCACAACATTAAAAAATGAAACAAATAAAGGCATGCTGTCCATCTACAACTATAAAAAAAGAGAGAGAGAGAGAACCTACACACCCACCACAAAAATTGTTAAGTATGAATTAATTAGCAATCATCCCACATTGTGTACATAACTCAGATTATCACCTTGTCATCCACAATTGTACAATTATTACTTATCAGTTAAAATTAAATTAAGCAAATAAAGAAATAGTGTTTTTTTTAAGAGACCTGTTAGAGATCCTTTATCACTTCCACCATGTGAGATTAAGTTGCAATGAAAGGACCATCATTCTAGGAAACCCCCCCACACACACACACACACCCAACACCAAATTCCCTTTATCTTGAACTTCCCACCTCCAGAACTCTGAGAATTTTTTTTTTTAAGTACCAGAGATTGAACCCAGGGGTGCTTCACCACTGAGTCACATCCTCAGCCCTTTTTGAGACAAGTTCTCATTTAGTTGCTCAGGACCTTGCTGAAGTACTGCGGCTGGCTTTGAACTTGCAATCCTCCTGCCTTAGCTACCTGAGCTGCTGGGATTACAGGCATGCAGCCACAGCACCTCTATAAAAATAAATTTGTTTATAAGCTACTGAGTTTATAGTATTTTTGTTCCAGCAGCCCAAACCACTAAGATAATAGGCAACATGACATTTATAGCTTATGTTAGCTTTTCATCACAGTGACCAAACTATCTGAACAAGAACAACTTGGAAGAGGAAAATTTTGTTTTGACTCAAGAGTTTCAGAGGATTCAGGACATGGTTAGCGGCCTTCAAGGAAGCAACATCATGGTGGAAGAACATAGCAAATGAAGCTGCCCAGCTCTTCACAGTTCTGCCCTTGAACTTGGCGCACTAACTGAGTGCCTTCTTCTTCTTTTTATATTTCATATTTTTTATATTTATTTTTTAGTTATAGTTGGATACAATATCTTTAATTAATTAATTTATTTTAATGTGGAAAGAGAAATAATGGTGGGAGGGTCTGGGAAAGAAGATGAAGCCCACCAGAGTACACCCCCAGTGATCTACTTCTTCCATGTCCCATCTTCCAAAAGTCCAATGGATTATCATCAAATGTATTAATCCACCTATGAGACCAAAGTCCTCATGACCTAATCATTTCCTAAAGATCCGACTGCTAAACCTTGTAGAATTGAGCACCATTCTTCCAACACCTGAGCTTTAGGGAGGATGCTGTAGATCTAAACCTTAGCACAACCTTATTTGCTCTCTTGCTGTAAACCTCTACTCACATGATCTAGAGAAGTCATGGAGACTTCTCTGCCTTAGTCATCTGTCTCCCACATTTCAACCAATCCATATCAAGTCAAAACTCATGACCCAAATCAGTCACAAGGTTTTCAGGAGGATCACCAGTTCAAAGCCAGCCTATCTCTAAATAAAATACAAATAGTGCTTTGAGGGAAAAAAAAAAAGTAAAAAAGGCCGAGGAGATGTGGCTCAGTGTTTAAGCACCTCTGCGTTCAATCCCCAGAAAAAAGCTATGTATCCAAGAAGCTTGAACTCAAACCAGTTACCGTATGATGCCAAAGTATCGTCACACACAACTAAATCAATCAGAGTCACTCCAGGTGAAGTGGACTGGCACAAAATAATCACATAGAGACAGCGAAATACCTTTTTCTTTGGGTTCTGTGATGGCTCCTCTGACCCAGCTCTCACAAAGGAGGCAAAGCAGGCAAAAAAAAAAAAAAAGAAAGAGCAAGCCTCGAACCCACTTTTATTGGGGAGAAGCCATTCAAATGAGGCAAGGGGTAGGATTACAAAGGAACAGGTGAGTGTAACTCAATCCCACCGGTAACGCCTACTCCTGCAGCCTGCCTCCTCATCCCAGCGGTGCAAGTCATTGCCGGGTGCCATAATTGTTCACTATCTCTTGCTCAGGACTTAAGGGCGTGTATTTCCACCAGAGTACATCTCTTTCTACCACTACACAAATATCTGATTCATCATATGTCCCACAGAGTCTCTGGCAAAATGCCTTGAGCATAAGCAGTGTTTCATAAATATTTGTGCTAAGAAGATGGACTGAATGGAGCTATGCCACATTTTCAGTGAAGCAAAACCCTGTAGTGGATTTAAATCTTAGATCTACCCTTCACTAGTAGAATAAATGCTTTAGCATTGATTTTTCTCACTTCAGATAGTAAAGTAAGTTTCCATAAATACTTGTGGAAGGAAGGCTCAGTTTACTTTGAGAACTCCACCTTCCTAAACTTCCCTTAGGCCCACCCCCAACTCACATACTTTGTTTAGTTATGTAATTAGCTTAAATTAAATAAGAAGAAGTAATACTATATACTTTTTCTTTAGGTGACCTTGCAAATTTTCTTTTAATGGTTTGTGTTGCTTTTATAATGTGTCTCACTGATAGGAACTTTAATTTTCTTATTCCAAAAAAATATACTCCTCTCTATCCAGCACTGGTAACCACTGTCCTGAATTTGAAGTTCAGTGACAATTATGATCACATTGTCTTTCTTCTTCTTCTTTTTTATATTTTATATTTTTTATATTTATTTTTTAGTTGTAGTTGGATACAATATCTTTAACTAATTTATTTATTTTAATGTAGTACTGAGGATCAATCCCAGGGCCTCGCCGTGCTGGGCGAGCGCTCTACCTCTGAGCCACAACCCCAGCCCCTGTTTTCATTGCCTTTCTATAAAACTTAATAAAACAGGATATTTAGAGGCAAAATGATGCATTTTATCTCTCTATGTAAGAAAAGAAAAAATGGGTGGGGTGTAGTGGCACGGGCCTGCAATCCTGGAAACTGGAGAGGCTATAGAAGAAGATCACAAGTTCAAGGCCAGCCTTAGCAACTTAGTGAGAACCTGGGCTCAAAATTTTACAAAGTAAAAAAGGCTGAGGATGTAGCTCAGTGGTAAAATGCACTTTGGTTCAATGCCCAGATTGGGGGCGTGGGGGGAATGAAAGGAAGGAAGGAAAAAAGAAAACAAAATCTGCTTGAGGTTAAAGTGGTCATGACCTCAGCTTCAAAGTAATTCAGAAACAGATGCCTTCAGTTCTCTGCCCTTGAGCTTGCCGCACTGAGTGCCTTTACGTCAGAGCATTTAAATACCTTCTGAAACAAAACACATTCCTATAACAACATGATTCACTCTCTCATTCCATTCCTCTCTAAAAAACTGATTTAAACTCTTAAAAAAGTTTTGAACCCATAAATTACATCCATTTCTTACGCAACCTATGTGGAAATTTTAATAAAGTCTGAGACACCTTTTTAAATTGTGCTACTTCAGATGGAACCCCAAAAGCACACTACCACTGAGTTACATCTCCAGGTCATTTTATTTATTTATTTATTTATTTATTTATTTATTTATTTATTATGTAAAGACAAGTTATTGTTAAATTACTAAGGCTGGTCTCAAACTTGCAATCCTTCTGCCTAAACCTCCAAAATGGCTAGGATTACAGGTGTGCACCACTATATCCAGCAGAAGAATTACTTTTTAAGTACTAGACAATCAAAAGTTTCTCAGATTCTGGCTCAGCGGCGCATGCCTGTAATACCAGCAGTTTGGGAGACTGAGGCAAGAGGATCACAAGTTCAAAGCCAGCCTCAGCAACTTAATGAGGCCCTAAGGAATTTAACAAGACCCTGTCTCAAAATAAAAAAATAAATAAAAAGGGCTGAGGATATAGTTCAGCGGAAGAGCACCACTGGGTTCAATCCCCTGCACCAAAAAATAAAAATAAAATGCAAATAAAAAAGAGTAGGGGCTTGGGCTATATAGCTCAGTGGCAGAGGGCTTGCTTGCCTAGCATGTGTGAAGCATTGGACTTGATCCTGAGCATCACATTAAAAAATAAAACAAATAAAATAAAGGCATTCTGTCCATCCACAACTACAAACCAAAAAAAATTTTTTTAATGACTGGGATTAAAAAAAACAAATGCTGAATGTTTTCCCTGATATAAGGAAG